GTCCTCCTGATCCCCACTGCATCCCCCCAACTCTTACTGCTCCGCCCCACTCCCCATACCCCCACTGCCCCCGCAGCATCCCCCCAACCCCTCCACTGCTCCGCTGACCAGCCCCCCCATCCCCACTGCTCCTGCAGCGTCCCCCTGGCCCCACCCCTGAAGCCCCATAACACCCTCTCTGCCCCCCCCCATGCCGCTGCTCCCCCACTCCCCTGCAGCATTTAAAGCATTTGCAAAATTTGCTTAGCTTCCCCCCGGCCCCACTGCAGCGCCCTCCCCCCGCTTCTTGTTCCCTTCCCACAAAGCCCTAGGAGTTACGGCCGCAGAGCTCGGGTGCTGCCCCTCTATTTGGCCCGCAGCCTTTGCACACCCCCCGAAACACCTGCAGGGACCCCCGTGTCAGGCAGCGGGCGGGGGGCTGCTCCATCCATGCTGCCGGGGCAGGAGGCAGGGCTCACTTGCAGACGCTGAGCCAGGTGCTGAGCCGGCACTGCTCGCACAGCACGGAGCAGCACCAGTGGAAGTGGCAGCGGCAGCGCTCGCGGCGCGTCTGGCGCAGGAGGTTGTGGCCTCGCCCGCAGCACAGGCTGGCGCACCCGTCCGTGCGGGGGCTGGTGCGGTTGCAGGCGCGGCCGCGGGTGCCGGGCGAGTCGAGCGCCGGGTCGTGCTCGCAGAAGTCGGGTGATTTCTCGAAGTAGACCAGCTCGCGGGCCAGGCGGCGCTGGCCCAGCCGCGGCCCGAACACGCCGCTGTTGCGGTTGTGGGCACTGATGAAGGCGGCGTGTTGCATCCGCTCCCGCAGCACCGCGCCCACCAGCCGGAACTCGGGCGCCACCGGCCAGCACGTGCGGAACTGGCAGCTGCCCGACGTGCCGTGGCACTTGCACTTGCGCTTCATGTTCTCCGCCACCACCTGTTCCGGGGGAGACGGGTGAGCCGGCGGAACTCCCCGCCACTGGACCGTGCAGCGACCTGCCACGGGGGCCTGCCACTGCTGATCCCCGGCTGCTCCCTGCTGGGGCTCAGGACGGAGCACCCCCACACACACACGCACATGCAGCGTGAGCTGCACCCTTCCTGCTTATGCTTGGCCTGAGGTATCTGCCATGGGCCTCCCAGGGAGCAGCAGTGACCCTGCCCCTCTGCCCCTGCCCCCTAGCATCCCTCCCCTCCTCTCCTTGCCCACTGTGCCCCTCCCCCAGTGCCAGTGCCTCTCCCCCCCGTGCCCCTGCCTCATGGGCACCGTACCTGCCTGCCCACCCAGTTGTTGTGGATCCTCATCCGGGCCTGGATGTCGCGTGGCGCCTCTCGTGAGTCCAGGAAGTCCCGGGAGAAGCGCTCCCCGAAGCTGATGTCGGGCCCGCAGCCGCCCCACTGCCAGGTGTCCTG